GGTCCTAGAGAAGTTGGTTAATGCTTGTTTTGTTTGGTTCCTCGAATCGAACATGCTTCTCTTGCCCACCCAGTGTGGGTTCTGTCAACAGTGTTCCAACATGGACCATCTGATTTGATTTGAAACGTCAATCAGGGAAGCCTTTCTCAAGAGAGTACACCTTGTTTCTGTGTTCTTTGATCTCTAGAAGGCTTATGACACTACGTGGAGGTATAGCATTTTGCAGGACCTCCATTCCTATGTGTTATGTGGCCATTTACCCACATTTATTAAAACTTTTTATTGAACTGGCAATTCCAAGTCCGTGTGGGTTCAACTCTTTCCCGTCCTTTTCCACAGGAACTTGGAGTCCCTCAGGGCTGTCACACTTTTTAGTGTTAAAATTAATGCCATCACTACTAATCGTCCTCCGATGGTTGCAAATGGGCTTTATGTTGATGACTTCCACATCTCGTGTCAGCCGTCGAACATGAAGTTTATTGAGTGGCAGCTTCAGACTGCCCTCAATTGGTTGTTGACATGGAACACTGCAAACGGTTTTAAATTTTCTTTTTCCAAAACCGTTTGCATCCATTTTTGCCGCCAACGGGGTCTCCACCCGGAACTCGAGCTTCGTCTCGGTGATATAGTTATTTGTGTGGTCCCTGAGGCAAAGTTCTTGGGGCTTATCTTTGACCGTAAGCTTAGCTTCATTCCACACATCAAGCAGCTGTGTGTCAAGTGTGCAAGGGCTCTGAACATCCTCCGTGTCCTCTCTTCCAGCTCTTGGGGAGCGGATCGATGTTCTATGCTCAGGATCTATCGTGCCCTGATTCGATCCAAACTGAACTATGGGTCTTTGGTCTATGATTCTGCCAGGACTTCGGCCTTGAAGATGCTGGACCCCATTCAGCATCTGTGGCTTTGGCTCTGCACTGGGGCTTTTTGCACTTCTCCAGTCCAGAGTTTGTACACTGAGTCCCACAAATCTCCTCTTCACCTCCGTCGTTTGCAACTTTCTTTACAATATGCTACCAAGCTTCGATCCTTATCATGGCATTTCACCTGTGATTGTGTCTTTCTTCCTTGGTGAGCCATGACCTTTCAGAACGGACAGCCTGCTATTCCTCCCTTTGTCCTTTGTATCCGGACACAACTTGCTGAATTGGGTCTGGCATTGGATGACATTGCTGTCCTCAATGATCAGCCCATTCCACCATGGCTT